TCTTCTGCGACCCAATGCCTATACCCTAAAAAGTATACCCAAAATAATAGTGAGTTTATCTACAGCACGTTGTGACAGTAATGGGGAGGTTTCTTTACTCTGTACCCATAAACAAATGCAAAGGCACCATAGGGCAATATTGGGATCAGGTTATGGGCAGAATACTTTAATTTATAATTTTCTCTTGGCGTAAGCGACAATAATTGGATCTAGTTAAAAACGGGTAGTGATAATGGACCGGTATCAGGCTATATATAGTATTTTGCTGTCACATTCTACTTATGGTTCTCTTTGCAACGTGCTATGAGTAGTTCGCGTCTACTTGCTAATCAGGGCCTTTTCCTGTGATAAATACTGCAGTATAGGAAAGTAGGTTATTTGAATCACCGTTGGTACTAATTATACTATATATATGGTCCGAGTCTATATTTTACCGACTGAAAAGGAATTGAGGGGCTTCCTGTGTACTCAATCGATCGTGAAATGTTTACACTATACAAATCAGAAAAAAAAGTATTTCTTCAAAATCTTTTTTGGGTAGGGTGGTAATGATCAACAATGAGAAAACATCAACCCATTAAACGAATCGCCTGCACAGTATATTCTGACTGTATAATGAGCTCACACTTGTCATATGAAATAATATCACTCCGTCCAGCTTTCAATTCTATCAGCGTGCTTTAATGAAGCTGTACTACGCATTGATATAAAAACCTCAACTTAACTGTACTGACATTGCTTTCTCAATAAAAATACATGTTATTGGTATCTTTTCGTTTTGACACGTTCTTTCTATTCATTTACGCATCTGCCATGTGAAATAAAAAGAACATTGCTCTCTCGTTAAAAAAAAATCCACATCGAGCCACTCCACGCCTATGCAATCACACACATCTTCCCGTAACATGACGATCCATCGTACCATGACAATCCATCATACCATGACCATGATCCCATGAACCAGAGAGTACCCAATCATAACTATTATAGCATAACTTATACCTAAGAGCTTCATATCTTCAGCATCTTACCTGAACCTGGAAGCACAAAGTTGAAGACACAGCAGCAGACGGCGGCCTTATAGGGCAGAAATGGGATGACAAAGCGAGGGTTGTCTTTGCTGTAGTTGTACCCTATGCTGCCCGGAAGGTCCACGCCACTCGGCGCGATCCCGATGGTCGTATAAAGGGTACGGGTTCTGACTTTCCATTGGTAATCAGAAGACACGCTAGCGGTCTTGTTCATGGCCTCCGTGGTCTACATGTACATGTATAGCTGCCGTGACTTGAATAATTTCCGGAAGATGTTTCTCTTTATACTTTTTTCTTTTTCTTGTCGAAATGGCGAGGAGGTATTTGCATGTTCTGACACGTGTTACATTCGATTCCTCTTACACTGCTACGTTCTTGTCTTCTCTTCGTACTGATTAACCTTTGGTGCCTCAGGTGAAACCTTTTGACGTCAATACCAATGGCAGTAGCCATGGCAACTGAAGATTATAGGACACTAGTTTTCAAATATACATATATATTCTATATAAGAATATTCACTTTAGCCTCTGTTAATGAAGCAATGATATAATCTTTATATTTGATGAACTATTCAATCATCAGCTAAGAAAATGGTAGGTGAAATTAATTTATACATGATGGAAACCCCAGCCACCACCAATTCCCACGTAACCTATGGGTCTTTTAATCCATTCTATAGTGTTTTACTCTTATAGCAATGGGGTTTGGATTGTGTTTACATAGTTGATGCACCTGCAAGCTGTATCGAGATCTCGTCACTTGGCAGAAAGACAGAAAATGAATGGTGTGAATTAAGATGTAGAATGCAGATGGTTCATTGCATACAATGTGCATAACACCTGTAGCTGGCGGTCAATTATCTGGGAATGTAAGCCAATCAATATGGATCGAGTGACGGGTTGGGCGGAGTATGTTTATTAGTCAATTCTGTTTGTTTGCATCGATTTGTTGGGGCATGAAGTTGCGTTTAAATTTCTACTAGGGGGATTTTCCATTTAATCCAAGACTGACACATTTTTTCACTCTCGCTTTTACGTGAATAGAAAGTATGAGACAGAATGTGATATTTGGAAGAGCGAATGGTTTTTAAACTTATTTTTTCTTTTTTTTTCTTTTTACATAAAGGGAATAAAATGGGCTAATACAATGAAAATCACCCGGAACGAACTGTCACTTTATTATAATCTTGTTTATTATATTAAGAAAATATATTGCAACTGACTCTATACTACAGGACTTTCATCAAAGATAAATCGGTACCAAAGATAAATCGTATATTGAATGTTTTAAAACGAGAAGAAAACGTTTGTGTTGTACACCCCTTCTCTCCCCACCCCCAGTAGACCAATTAGTGTACTGTACTGTACTGGTAAGTTAAGACTATCCTCTGAATACAGGAACTATTATAAAAATTTAAATTATGAGAGATAATAATTTTGTAACAGATTACTAGTGGACCCTGCTCAGAGAGTAACCTAACAACTTTCGGTGTAACGTTCCCTGAAAAACGGGCCCAGCAAGGTATGTTCTTATCATTACTTGTTACATATTTTAATAAGACAAATCACGATCTGTCTGTTATCTGATGATCGCACTGCACATGAGATGTTACACGATCTCAGCAAGGATAAGACTATCGATTGAAATGTTAAAGGCGCTGAGTACACAGGCAACGTGTTTCTATACTCTTTAAGTCCTCCCTCTCTGTTTTCCCAACCATAATATTGCTTGCCGTTTTCGAAGGTGTTAAGGTAGCATCCAAATCTAAGTTAGACACAAACCTCAAATATTGTTGTCAAGTTTAACTTCGTTCAGTACGAATTTGTACTGAGAGCATACTGCATATAAGTGTTACATGTAGGCCCACACATCGTAGTGAATCCACTAACCTATCATATTTTGATAGTAGCAGAAAAATCGGGCGCGGAAGGTTTGATTTCCCTACACGACATTAGTAACCGCTGTGATCTTAAATGAAATAATGCATAATGAGCAACACAGTCTGCATAGTGGGCAACAATCGAATCACGTGGACACATCTCCCATTCCGCCATACACGTCTTGATGGTGCTGACCGTCGTCAGATGGCGTGGTGGAATGCGCAAAAGAGCTCTTTGGTCGTCCGCTCTGCGCAATTCCATGTGCCGATGGTTGGTGGGATATCACAGTTTTTGGTCTCGGTTCCGGCGTTATCTTGGTAGCATGGTATTCTTCATCTGAAATTTAAAAAGAAGCATTTTAAGTGAAGGGATGTTCTCCAAATCTGGCTTCTTGTTGAGCTTTTATTTCTTTACACAAATAACTGCGTTTGATAAATTTTAATATTTTAAAAATCTTATTATTACATTATAAATTCCATTATTATATTACACACCAGACAATTAATTAATTACTCACTGCTTGACAACGACAATTAGCTGTAAAAAAACTATCTGTATTCGTAAAAGGAAAGGGCTTGTACGGGAATTAACGCGGGACCTCTTGCAACCTAAGCGAAAACTATGCCCCTGCATGCACTAGCATATGTTGACACATAAAGGCGATTCTAAACTGTAAAGGTGTGTGATAAAACTCAAAATGTCAAAAATAGAATACCATTAATTATCTCGATTTCACATATCAGGGGCACAAAGGATAAACAGAGGGACAGACAAACAGGTGGTTAGGTTCGCGCGGATGGGCAAACAGCCAGACAGACCAAGAAGAATGAGGTGGGGGAAAAACGGAAAATCGAAGAGACACCTCACACTTACCCGACTGCCCGACCATTGCTATTCCCCAGCAGATACTCCACACCCACCCTAGCAGGAACACGGGGGCAAGAATCAACTGTGCCAGACCAACGCCAAGGTTTAGGCAGCAGGAACCAATCCTCTGGGAGAACTTCAGATCTGTCTTGGTGCAGCAAAAGAACACTGACATTCCAGCCACCATCGTTCCTGAAAATTGTGAATATTGGATACACTTGCAATACACACTCACATGTGCAAATAAATAAATAGATAAATAAATAAATAAATAAATAAATAATAAAAATATAAACAGGTAACAGTGTAGTAAATAGAAATCCCATTCTGTGCTGTGTTTATAACGAAGATCGATTGTCGTGTCGTCGTAAGTTCTGAGACTACCTCCAAAATAAGTCTAAAACGATTTTGATAATTCTCCTTGATACTAAAACACCAAGGGACATACACTTAGGCATATTCCCTTTGATAAATGTGCCAACGCTCTAAAATTACCCATTCGGGCAAAATATAATGAACGGAATCCAGTTAGATTAAGTAGCTACCGGTACATGTACGTCTGGCTTGCGTACAAAAAGTGAACTATGGCTTTTGATGCACCTAATCAGTTTTAGATTTTTGTTGATTTAAGGAAACTGGGAAAAGAATTCACAAAATCAATCAAGAGACAGCTAAAAAACGCTTAAAATAAATTACAGAATACACATGAAAAACAGGACCATGATCGGCGAAAAAGACACAAAATGAACATTAAATCTTAAAAGAGCATATACACAATTTCACTTTAAAAAATTAACATTTTTCCATTTATCACCGATGCATGCTTTATCCAAAAACCCTTCACAAAATTGCGACTTTATACCGGTTTTTGTAATTTTTCAGTCAGTTTGTGAGCGAAGTAAAAATGTTGCAACGCAGTCGTTAAAGTAAAACCTGGAAATAGAGTACTCAAAACGAAATGGATGACGAAATGGGTTGTAAATTTAATTTTTCCCTTTGTATTTGGATAGGGAATACCTTTAATGTTGAAATTGCTGCAGAGTATATAAAATGGTCTAGCGAGCATCGTATACCTATAACAACACACGTGGCATAATGCTAGTGGTTGCTTAGGAAAAGAAACAGAAAATGTAGTCTTTGCTGCAGCTAAATTGAGAACAATCCACTGCTTACTCTCCATATCGTAAGATATACATGTAAATGTAGATCACCTCGTTCGCGGAACACTAATGAAAATCAGTCGCTTGTCTTGTTTGGGATTAGCAAGTGATTATCAAGCTAATCAACTTTCCTGGGTTTAATGTGCTGCATATATACAAGTCGTATCAGCTTGGTGGCAATCGAATTGTGCAGTCGACCGTGAAGATCGGAGGAAGGACTCACTGAGAAGTTCAACGAGCAGCTGGAGAGAGATGGAAAGATGTTTCTACTGAGGTAATCACGCTTACAAACGAGGTAGAAGATCTTCATTTAAGTATTTTTCAGCACAGCGACGCGAGTGGTGTTCGTAAATGTCCATTTTTGAATCCGAACCTCAAACATCATCCTTCATTTCCTTCTGAAACTGTACCATACCTTGATTTCCCCCCCCCCCCAAACGCACACGTCGACAGAAATTTACATTATAGGTCTCACAGAAACCGATCTTCCACGAGAAAAATAGGTCAACCAGTTAAGAGCTTTAAAATGCTGCAAGAACAACCTCGGACACTAAAAGAATGCTGACCATAAAACCCGAGGCAATTGCGAGCCTGGTCTGAATTACTGTTGGATATTTCAGGCTGCATGGGGATTGAATACGGACTAATTACAATCGGAGAATTANCAATTTAATTATTTTGGGCTTTCTTGGCAGTGGCTACATACGGAACATTGATCAATTCTCAAAATTCAAGATGGCCGTCAATAATATAAAAATATATAAAAATATCATAATATTATAAATAAATAATTATGTAACATAGCAAAGAGTCCGGTTAAAAGTGCATGGTATTTCGCATTTTAAATGACCGCTAAAACATGCTCAAAAAGGTAAAAAAAAGCAGTTAAATTACGTTTTAAACTGGTAATTCGGCGTATAATATATATCAAACCCTTTTATTTATTGACAAAGTGTACTTGTGAAGTACAGTTATTCTAAGACTCTATAAAAGAGGATCATTGATAGGACTGTGGGGGTTCTGCAGGAATTTGGGCACAGGGAGTCCAAAATGTTAATCTGCAATCGGGACTCTTATATTTAGATGGGGTCCAACCAAGTCCGTTGGTGGTGACGGGAATTGGGGGGGGGGGAGGGGGGGAGTGTAATTTCATATAACTTTTGTCAAAATATTAACCTTATTATTTTTTTTCGTTTTTGTTTTTATATTGATCATATCTTAATATTTTGATTTTATATCTTTATCATAACTTTTTCAGTATGTATATAAAATTTAGCTTTAAAACTTCCCATTCTTTTTATTGAGATTGGCACGTGTAAGAATATTTCATCAGTATATAACAGCATTTCTAGTTTTTCTTATTACTGCACATTTTTCACTTTATATCTTAAAGAGTCAATAAACAAAACATCTTACAAATCATTTGGTTATATACTGACAGCCATAAAAATCTTTGAGGCCATATTTTTCAAAATAATTGTTATTTTGAAGCTCTAAACAGGATTATTTTCACATGTTCAGGACATTGGTATACAGAACCAAAAATCTTAAGTTTCATGAATAGTTTCAAAACAAAAATGGCACCAGCCCAACACAAAGTCACAACGGTCAATAGCCGGTACGATCTCCGCTTACTTCGATGCAGGCGGCGATCTGTTGGCGCATGCTTGGGCAATAAATGTGGATGGGATGGTGTCGTGCTGAATCCTATTCCAGCCTTGTCGTAGTGCCTGGGTCAGCTGCTGCCTTGGCCAACGGACGGCCAAGATAAATGTAATACCACAAGTTTTCAATCGGATTCAAATCCGGAGAATAGACAGGCCGGGGTAGGACATCCACCTTTGGGACTTCAGATACACTTGGATCATTTGTGCCGAATGTGAACGGGTCTTGTCCTGTTGGGAAACGGTGATATCAGTTTTCTGCTGCATGAACGAGGTCATGTGAGGTTGCAGAATCTGATCTATGTAGTGACGAGCAGTTACTGGTATGTTGCCATCAACGACCACCATCGGTTGACCGCCAGCAAGCGTCGACGCACAGTGGGGATGCTGCTCCGGTTGTTGTTCCTGCCGGGTGCTTCTTGTGCTGTACGACTGGCATGGCGAAATTGGTCCCGCAGCTGATGCAACATGATCTAGCGATTCTGGTCTGTAGTTGACACTCTCTCACCCTGGCTGCGGTATATCGCTAACAGAGCCCGGCATGTTGTGGCATTCAACCAGGTTCCTGATTGTGGGGTGGGGACAGCCCATACATTATAGCTCAAATCAGACTCCCCTCACACCCAGTGCCCAGAGATGTACTGTACGTTGTTCACATAATAGACAAGGCACGATTCCGTTCACTGGACTAACAACATGGGTAGCATTTTTAAGACCTTTATAGGCCTCCAAAACCTATCCTCAAAATGTGCAGATGCCCACTGAGTATTGCTCAATGTGTATTTGGTCCATTTTTGCAAAAAAAGAGCTTTCCCATGTGCGACGAATCATGGCACCATGACAACTCATCATTATCTTAACTACCCGAGCACTAAGTCATCAATAAATCCACAATGAATAATTACATCTACCCTACAAGTAGAAAAATGCATACATTCCTATCTCAAAGCTTCCATTATCTGTAAGTATATATTGGCAAAAACAACATTTCAAATACATGATGTCGATGGGTAG